GGTTCGAGTTTCGAATATGCTTCAAACCCGACCCGACCCGAGCACTAGGCGCGAATAGTAATCATTAGAATAACTTGTTCTGTCAATAAAAAGAGACTACTTTTCGATACTTCAAAAGTAATAACAATTAAAATATTTAATATTTATTGATTGAATTTAAACCTATTTTTATTTAATGTATTAATAAATTTCCCAATAAAATTTCTATATTTACAATATAAAATTAAAGTTTAGTTATTAAATGATATCTTGAATTTGAAAACGAATTTATATTTACAATTTTACCCAAGAACAGAATTGAAAGGTATAAATAATTTAGAATAGTAAATTATTTGAAAGTGCAGAAAATTCAAAATCAAAAAAATAATCTCAAAATACTCAAACTAATATATGAAAAATCTACAGAATTTATGCCTTTTAAATATTTAAATATAATTAATAATTATATAATGCTTTACCAAATCTTTCTTGTGAATTAAATTTTATTAAAAATATAACCTCTTATTCAATTTTAGCTTATTTTTTCACAAAATTAATTACAAGTAATCATAAATAATATAATAAAAGATTACCGGTTGATGAGCAAAATTTTTCAAATAAATTAAATATTATTATTAAAAGCAAAAAAAAGCAAACATTTATTGTAAAATTAAATTAAAATTTAAAATTAAAAAATTTTATTAAAGGCTTTAAAAAAAATTTTCTACATTTTAAAATATTAACAATTTAAATGAGTATGTTTCTAAAATTTATGATGCCTCGTTTCTATTTATTAATATGTGATAACATTCCTATAACTCCTAATTATATATCTCGGAAAATGTAATTCTATTGTTATGAATATTAAAATTAAGAAATACATCTATAGTTGTATGGTTAGATCAAAATTATCACCCGTTAATTATTTTAATGAAAATGAAATAATTTGTTCGATGGTCTAAAAGAACTGATCCCAATTTACTTAAAAATTTTATTAGTCATATTTAGTATCTTGAAATGTAATTAATTTTTTTTATTGATTTTAGTATTGATATATTATTTTGAACACACCACCTTTTTCTTTTTATTTTTTAATTTAAACAAATGATATAACGTTTGTTTAGTGAGAAAATATAATGATTATGGTTTAAATTATTATTACAAAAATAAAGTGATTATGATCGCTAATTTCCTGTTCATGTATAGTAAAACGCTCAAAACCTTAGGGTATTTTACATGGGGAGTGGTAGTATAAATTTTTTATATGATTTCCTTCAATTGATTTTTTAATATATTTAAAAGTGGAAGGCCAATATTTTAGGTTTGAATAAAAGCTTGGCAAAACAAGTTTCATTGGACGATTATTATTTTAAAATGTTAAAATTCAAATTGTCATGAATTCTCCCACACGTGTTACACTGGTCTTCTGATTATCTGTATTACCAATAATTATTATTTTAGTTACAAAATTGTTTTTCACATAAAAAATCAACTTTTCTCCTGATTTTCTGCTTAGAAAAGGAAGTTTTGAAAGTAAAAGTAATTGTAAATTTTCTAAGATCCCTTTTAATATTAAAGGATTGAAAGAATATCCTATATCAACTTGAACCTTGGGTTTTCAAAACCTTTCATTATTTAACTCATGATATTGACAACAAAGAAATACGGACGCTGATGGCATCGAACTTCTCTGGAAAGTTCGGGATGATAAGCCTTGCTCTTTGACCAATAATAAAGGAAACTCTGGGCTCATCTTATTCTTCCACACGACAAGGAATTTTCAAAGCAATCGTGTTCTAGGAATTTGGTAACATCCCCTCCAGGTCGCCGTTGTCTCAAGCGCATTCTGTTCGAATTCAGAATGATCAACCAAATTGAACAAGAGCAACTTCTTAGTCCAGTGGACATAGTCGCGACTCTTGTGGAAAATGTTCTGAACACAAGGAAGTCTTACCTCGTCTGGGAGAGGGATTTTCTGCGTTGTTAGAAACTCTAAAGAGTCATCAAAATGCGGAAAAAATCTCGCTGGTTAACAGGAAAAACTCATTGCCACCCATGTTGCATGATATAGTTATCTTTGATAATAAGAATTCTAGGTCTCAACATTGAAACAGGAAGCGAGAAGCCACCAGCGCCCACAGCAATTCAGCGAACTCGGTGTCTATGTCTATTCAAGATGAACAATACCTCAATCTGTTGGAGATGCCGGTACCTCAAAAGCCATCAGATTTGCACAACTTCTTGCGAGAGCTTGAAAAACGGAAAATAGAATTATTTCAGGTAAGTTTTCTCAATTTGATTCAAATAAGTTTAATGTTACTTTCATTATTGATTTATTTTGGTGAATTGACATATCAAAACATCGCTTAGGATTTATTGGGGTTCTTACCATAAACGAGCCCTTATTTCTCTTTTTCCCGATAAATATTTTTCGGAAGAAGAATCAGAAGGTGATGAAACCACATCACGACCACCTGAACGCCTTTTTCGCCTTCCATTCGAATTTGATGATAATGACAAGCTTGGACCATGGGATAT